GAGGAGAGAGGAGAGAGGAGAGAGGAGAGGAGAGGGAGATGGAAATAGCCGCGGCTGTCCCAAATAGTATCTTCTATTTGTTTTGCCCGGGCTTGTGGGCCATCTTCTATTTCAACCGGTCGGGTGTTCAAAACCGGGCACGCTTTCAAATAGAAGATTTTCACAACTAATATCTTCTATCTTAGGCGTCCGGATTATAACTAAGTAAAGCCAATCTGGCCAAGGACCTAGAAATCTTATCCCACTTCTCCGTAAGTACCGGCTGGCACTTGGCACGTACTTTAGGATTCCAAAGAGAAACTTTGTAGACTTGAGAGTGCACATGGGAGGGGGTCAAAGACCGGTCAGCACCAAATGCGAGACACATTTGACACTGAGGTTGACTGTTCCCAAGCCTCTTCTTCTAGCTCTTGTTGGAGCCGAATTCCCTCACGCTCTTCTTGGAAGCATTCCTGCCATCGACTTCCACCGCATCATTCAGCAACCGCGGAACTCAATGAACCCCTTCCCTGAGCACCTGCTGTTTTTGTGCACGGGAGTCTGACCTAAGAAATGGATCGGACTCATGATTCGATATTGTTTAAAATTTGAGGTCATCGTGCATGATCATGCATGGATGTCTAATGACGTTTTTGCCGTGAAAAGCAAACCGGACTGTGCGGTATCACAACATACCACAAAATTCGAGCAATTGTTCCGCTCAAACTTTGCTAAATTGCTCCACTTGGAAAGCTCTGCTTTGCGCAGGGGCAAATTCATGATTCCAAGTCATGCCATGACCCTTGCTGCCCTGCCCTTGAACGACATGATCTCCCAGATCAGAAGTGGGTACCTCCCTTGCACCTGTTAGCAGGTGAGGCTTCAAACAAACCAACTCCCATGACCCCCGAAGTCACCGAACATCACGCCTTCCTCCCGTGCCGGCCCGTGCCATACCTGCCGGACGAAATTCAGGTCACTCTCATTCTTCATGAGGCGATCTCGTACCTTTCCCGAAGGTGTGCGAGTTCTCAAGTAGTGACCGTACATGGACCGTGCTGTCGCTGTAAACCGCGAAACCATACACCAATACCTTGCTACTAGTAGCTTCTTGCTACTAGTAGCGATGGCCTCCAACCTAGTAGCGATGGCCTCAGGCCTAGTGACCGGGGAAAATCTCTTGTGAGTCTGAGTGGGCCCAAACTGGCCACAGGCCGATGCTGCCCACGAGGCACCGTCTCCACGTCTCTCTCCAACTCATTCGCCAACTGCTGCAGCTTCGCCACATACTGCGAACGAAGAAGTGCGGCACAAGATGTGTTTCCATTCCCTTCAACTGTGACACTGGAATGTGGCAAGCAGCTGGTTACTTAGCTACTTCATGTCACTTCCAGTTTCCCTTGTCGATCCTCTTCCTTTCTTCGCGCAAGGGTGGGCAACTATTGCACAGCCTTTAGCTGCAAGTTGCGGCGGCAGCCGCGTGCTGGGCCAGGCCCATCAGCTGTTGCCCAGCATCTGGCAGCACCAAAATGGGTGCGGATGTGTCCCTGCTCCACGAATCAAGTGAATAATTAGTTTTTCGATGTTTTTCGGGACCACCGGTAGAAGCGACACATCGTTTACGATGCGTAGGCACCAACCCGTGGGGCGCGCGGTTGGGCCCGAGGCGCCAAAGAACTCGTGGCGCAGCGTCTGAGAAGCACGGGGCCCTGTCTCAGCCCTGAAACCCATTGTCGAAAAGAATCAAACATCCAGGTTGCCACAGACTTCAATAGTCGCTGTCTAAGATCAAAGAAATCAAGCCTGCATAGGTGCGAATCCGTGCCGAAACGTGAGACATGCCGAAGGTCTCACGCAAGTCTCACGTGTGAACAAAAGAGCCCGCGGAAAGCGAAAACTTCACCACAGGTGTCGCAGGCTGAACGGCTGGAAGGCATCCTGTGCCACGAAAGAAGCGGGGACCCGATCTTGAGAGCACGGGATGTATGAAAACCTGTGGAGGAGATGAAGTTGAAGTGTCTTCTGACATAGATTCCAACACATAACAAATAATGATTCTAAACTTGACCAACATTCGACCACGCAGTTTGAACATGAATCCAAACAGAATTGGAGTCACACCCACACACTCATCATAGTAGGAAAACAGAAATGCCAGAACCTCCCGCAGGCTCCGCCTTGCTTTGAGACATCTATGCAACCCCACGGTCCTGGCCACTACAGGCTCAGCCACCTTGTTCGCAGTGCCTCAAAGAAGCAAGACCACTCGCAAAAGGAAAGTACAGTAGTTCAGTAGTTGAAATGAACACATGCATGTCAAAGGGGTCTTGTGGTACCTGCTCTTGCAGTGCCGTCTCTCCACGCAATCCAGCATTACCAAAACAACGGCAGTGAACATGCTCGAATCTCACTACACACCCTCCATCAGTGAGGGCTTCTACCGTATACCGTTCTTGCTCCTAGTAGTAAGGCCCGGAGCCCCGTTCGTAGCGATGCCCTTGTTCCGTTCGTAGCGATGCACCACACCCGACTGGCTCGGTGAGGCTTACCGTCCGACTTCGCAAACTGGGTGTCCACGCGGAAACAGGCTGCCTGACGGATCGAATCGCTGTGGGTCACAACCGGAGGACCGTGGTGGACCACCGAAAATGAACCAAATAGACTACCTGCTAGGTCAACTTACCATGGATATCCATGATTAAGGCCCCTGGTTTTGACCCACAACCACATAAAGTAAGGGACGTCAATACATTTCAAAGAACATCAAAGAACGGGTCTGGTGTGTTCAGCTTTGACTGAGCAATCCTTGATCAAGCACTTTTCAGCAACACCCAAGGGAGTTGGGAGGAGCGTGGAATCGCTGATGTGCAAAACTCTTGGGCTGCGCAACTCCTTGACTTACTGTACCAACTGCACCTACGCCAGCCGCCTTGCGACATGGAAACCATGCAACTTGTGGTCGGCTCCAAAGAAATGTGAGTAGACAAGAAAACCCTTGCATCAATGAAACGTAAAGAACCCTTGCAGCCAGACTAGACCCTCAAAGGAAGCTGGCGAAACGTCCCTGTTCGCATCGGAAATGGCGGGGGAATCCCCCTGTACATCCAGACCTTCACACGCTAATCATGACCCAACATTCTCTCCTTTCCCGCCCTCACTGAGGTTCTTGCGGTTTTTCAATTGAAGGAATGCACGAAGTGCATCTACTGCAACCACATTTCCTCTGGGACTCATTTCCTTCACCTCCTCCATTGCCCTAAAAAGACCTCCTCACCTTGGCGAGAATTCTCTTCAACACCCAGGCGGGGGGGAGAATTCGCTGCGCTCAAAGCAGTTTTCTCAAAACCCTCACGCTCGCTGTGAACATGCCTGTGGTCGCTGCGGTCTGCGCAAAGCGCATGGAGTTGAGAGGCCGGATGGGCCAAGAGAGGTCACCTACAGTAACACCACAAAGCAAAGGCGATGGCCTCCAACCTAGTGGCATGATTGCCTCCAACCTAGCAGCGATGGCCTCCACCCTAATAGCGATGGCCTCCAACCTTATAGCGATGGCCTCCAACCCAAGAGTAACACCACAAAGGAAGGGCGATGGCATCCAACCTAATTTAGCAGTGGCCTCCAATGGCCTCCACCCTGATAGCCGTGGCCTCCAACCCAATAGCTGTGGCCATGGCCCCCAACCTTGTAGCAATGGCTTCCAACATAATAATAACACTACAAAGCAAAGGCCATGGATGGCCATGGCTTCCAACCTTTGGACGGGCATGTTCTGAACGGGCCAATTTGATCCAATTTGGGGACTCCTTGGAGGCTGGGGATTCGCGTGATTTGATGGGGAAAAACTGAACGGCTCCGAAGAAAGTTCCTTATCCGTGTAGGAGCGACCATCAAATAAACTTACGCTGCTTTTGGGGTCATGCGCAGTTTCGCCGTGTAGACTGGAGATGTTGCAAAATGTTCTATTAACTTCTAGGAGTATTAAGACCCAAGGGGAGTTTGGCCAAGTCATCTTACACACAGGTCTCCAGCATCCTTCGAAGTGCCACTTCAAACGCTGCAAGTCCAGTAGCAAACCTCACCAAAAAATGGTGGAACAATCTTTGTTTGGCTTATCTAAATTGTAAATTGTGATGAATTTTGGAACGACCTAACCCCCCCCCAAGCTGGAGCACGATTCTTAGGACCCAGAAAAGTACAAGCCATGTCCTCCATCAAGAATCCTGGAAGGCTCTTGCGTTGTATGAGAAAAGTTCCCCCCTCCCGTTTGCCTGGAGTACTGTCGAACAATTGTTTTGTTGGGTGCTATTGTCTTAGAATGACCATGATTGTCCATTTCAAGATAGGCCAAGGTGCATTGGGCAAGATCTCCTCTTGCTGCTCTCGACGTTCCTGCGGGATGCAGTACTGTGACCCCTAGTAAACTCAGTAAGCCTTCGAGACTTCGACTAGGGCTCGCTCACTACAGGCATTGTTCTCTTGGCTTTAGTCTTTATCCAAAGCATGTGGCAGTTTGACTTGATAATGGCACCTTCATGTCTTGTTCGGCCCAGGTGTGCAAGACTGCTTCCCAAGAGCTGCTCCATATTCTCTGGGGAAGCTGCTTGACCCGAAACGGACCAGGGACAAACACCGTTGGAATTGGGGGAAGAAATTACACACAAAAATATCAAGTCTTTAGGCCTGGAGTGGTATTTCTTTTGTCAACAGTCAACAGCTTGACATCCCACCTTCAACATCAAACATACTTGGAAACAGTGGTAAATCCTCAGACTCTCAGGTGTATGCTTGGTAAGTGTGGATATGGACTTTGCAACTGCACATTGTGTGTGTGTGTGTGTGTTCCGGACAGAACCACCAGCTTCGCCTGACGGAACAGAACTCGTTTGGCATACAAACTCCACGTCAATGTATCAAGAGTTTGCTGAAATGCAATTCCATGAGACAATGTCATCAAAATTCATTCTGAAGTGTCCCTTAATTACTATCTGAGCAGGCAGGACTAAGCAATTACAGCAAACATGGAAATTACCATCTATATAACCAAAAACAATGGCAATACAGCATATAGCTGAAAAACACTGCATAATGCATTACTTTTTTGTTTACCACGTCTGATATTCTTTTAGCCAAACTTAGCTAACCATGCGTTTTCTCCCGTTGCTTTTCCCTCCAATCCTCATCCGTCCTGGGGCAAGTACTTCTTCAAGCGCGGCAGGGCCTGTGGCATATACCTGAGAAACTACTTGAGAAGAATCAGGGAAGAGGATCACAAAGAACTTGCTATGTAAAGGCTTCTCCTGGAGCCTCACGACTGCCATTTGCTAGGGCTTTCGATCTTAAACATGTACCAGGACCCACAAGGTTTGGTTGGTCACCCCTTAACCTCTTTCCTGAGGTATCAATAGACATCCCTCGGCCCTGGTAGATGTTTCATGATGTTTCTGCTGGGATGTTTCCATTCTCATTCATGGCCAATGCGGATGATGGCCAACACACACAAAAAATTGGTGCGCTCAAAAACGCATGCTGCAAAGGCCCCGAACAGCTTTTCAAACCGCTCCATGTTGTCCGGATGCCAACTCTTCGCGACGATCAAAAAAATCCCGCCGACCTAGCCGCCCCAGTTCGCTCGCCTCGAAGCGACGACAGACGCCCAGTCCGATGCCCAGTCCAGACACCTGCCAAGGGCCTCTGAGAAGTCTACGGCCAAGGGCTTCACACAGAGCTCGCCCTCGGTAGACAAACCTCAGACTAAGTGACTACCGTGAATTTCCGGTGACCTACACTGTGGACTTGGGCCATGTTGGAGGGATACAGAAGTCACCAGCTTTTTGACTATATAATCATGACACACCGATTGTTCCCTTTGCAAAAGCCAACAAAACTTCTTGTTTCCTTTCCGAACAGCGAGGCTGCCTCCCCAGATCGGCCTTGCCGTGAGTTGTTTTGCTTCAATGGCTCCCATCGACACGTACACAATGGTCTCCATTGGCAACTCGACAGACGAGACCAATCCGGGCCAGAGTATTAATACCCGAATCGGCGCTCTTCCAGACCCCAATGAACGCCAAGGCCCGGGACCTCGTCGGGCCAAAACATCGGCATCTCTTGCATCCTCAGCCAATGCTGGTGGCCATAGACGAAGCGTTAGATGAGAGAAAGGTAGCCCTCTATTGCGAGGAACCCACCCAAAAAAGATGCACAGGCCATCTACACCGACCATCTTTGAGGCCATGTTGGTTTCTACATCTGAAGGTCCTCTCATATACATCCTGCAAAATCTCTCTCCTCAATCACATCGCATGTGCAATACATATATATATATATATACATATACCTCCGAAGTACTGGACTACTTGCCCAAATCACATCACTCCGTAATCACATCCCAAACTTCCCTTCAGTTCGTCAGGTCACCATTGACCCGCCGATCACCACGGTCGTCATCATCACGAGACGACCCCCCCGTCGCTACGCAGGACCTCACGAGGCGAACCCCGGCGGCCCCTCGCACGGCGCTCCCGCGGGGGGCCGTCCCGCAGCACGCCCCGCAGAGCTCACCTTGCACCGACAAAGAGGGCACGAACAAAGTTCGTCCGACACCATACTCCCTGTGGTTCATCCTCTGCCTGTCACCCTGTTTCCTTTACTTCTTGTGAAGCGGTAGTACGGGAAACCTAAATAAGGTGGACCCTCACTGCATCCCTTCCTTGCCAGGCGTTGACCTATTCCTTCGAGTAAAGTTCAACTCAACATCATTCAACCAATTGGCAACACCCCAGGTTGTATACATTGATGATTGCTTAGACCAGCAACGCTTCACTAGTGAATGTACCCTCCCTTATCAATAAGCCCGCTCCATTGGAATGCCAAAATCGACCGATAAGCAAAGGAATTGCCCCTATCGGTCGCGCAAGGTATTGATCAACTCAGAAATGTTTACTATATTCATAAGGCTCCAGGCTCTCCGTCACTACATGTACGGAACTGTCACCACTTGATATATTACAAATCACATATCAACTATATAAAATTATACTGTACACACATATATATATATATATATTAACACACATGTTATGAAAATACCTACTATATTGAAGAACCGACGCCCACATCATCAGCTGAGTTTGCCTCATCTTTCCGGCTGGGCCCTACACAAATAGGTGGCACAAAGTATGTATATTCAGATTCGGTTGGCGCGTAAGGTAAACGAGGGAGCTGGAAGCAACACTGGGAACCTATCATAGCCCATCTCTCCAAGGCACGGGGCCAAGTAGAGCAGCTCGCCGCCCTGGAACGGCCCGACGGCCGCAATGGCAGAGGGTCCACTATTGTTCCTGAGCAACACCCTGCAAGAGTTCTTCAAACATGAAACTCCTTGATGGCAAACCCTGTTCCCTCTGCCGTCCGACATCACAACTACTTTAGGAGAACTAGGTCCTTGACATCTTGCGCGATTTTGGCGACCCCAATGTCAATGTGACACCAAAGTCAAACAATTTAATACACAAATATTATGGCAGCTGAGTCTTGTGAAAAAAGTCGCAAAAACACACCCGTCATTGCTCATCCCTCTCAACCCTGCCACTCCCAGAAGTGCCAAGCATTGCACCAACAACGTCACACCAGGCCCAGGCACTGGTCCCTATGTCGCGCGGCGCGGTGATTGATGTCCAAACTGATCGAGGCGAACGAGAAGGTCTTCTGCCGCAAACACTCCGCGAGGACCTCGCGACGACATCCGGAAACTCCTGGGCCCGCGGTCCGCGTGAGTCTTGACACTGGATCGATCCCTGACAGTCCCCACCCACCAGAAAAAACATCTCCAAGAACTCGGGCCCCTGCGACAACCGGCGGGAAACCGCAGGACATGGTTTTTGGTATCGAGCTGGCGTCCTGTTATCAACTTGCTGAACAAGCCAGCACACCTGAAGCGATAGCCGTCCAAACTTGCAACAACTTTGGCTCAGAGTAGAGTCACCCACAGAGTCACCCAGGACTTGAAATGACTTGGACGGCACTCATCACAAAGCACAACCGCCCCAGGAACATCACCTAAAAATAGGTGTCTGTCTCTAGCGTCGCCATGCGTCAGTACCAGCAGCAAATCTGCATCGAGCAACCTCTTCTTCTCCAGCAGTTGCCCGGCCAGGAGCTCCGCGATGCGTCGGCGCCTCCCCGGATCTTCGTCCATAGCCCGCCCAGCTCGGGCTTGTGGTGGGCGCACCCACTGCGGCTGTGAACCGATGCGCTTGCGCTTCCTGGAGGCTGGAGCAAAGAACCATTCTATAGCCTATGTTGCTACGACCAAAAGAGTAAACAGTAAACATCCCTCATCCGTATGAGAGCCTTTCTGGATTATTCGAATGGATTTCCCTGTGAAAAGCCATCATCTCTGTCTTTGATCTTGTGTAATCCACATGTGCCCCGTGCCACGTACACCCAACGGTTTGTCCGTTTGGTCCACCACCGTGGAGCCACTGAACGGTCCCACCTCCCCGCTCAGGCGCCCCAGAACCAGTCCCATTGAGAGCTGAATCGAGAGAGACCAGCTTGAAGAGCTGCTGGTTCTCCAGCTTCTTTGCCTGTGTTGAAAGGAACGAGCAACAACATAAAAACCGGGCACGGAGGATAAGATTTCACAGCAATTTCTGGTCAGTGTCATGCACAATCCAATATGATCCCATGGTAATCCTGACGTATTATTGACACAGAGTCTCCCTACCGCACTCTACCCAGTAAGCTGTCAATCGGAGCCATCCCCAGTTCCACGACATGCACACCATCCTGATTCCTGCGGCTGTGGGTGGAACCACCGGCAGCCGCTTGGTTGACCCAAAACAGTACACCAAATGTGGACCCAAAAGGGGTCTCAAGTTGGCATCAAATGACCTACAGGCACTAGTTATATATTCAAAGGAACGTAGGTTTGGACCCACCGGATTCACCACCTTCAGTGCCTCATATCCCCTCTCCACCCACGTCCATCCGGATGTCCGTCCGGGAGCACGCCAGCTGCCGCTGCCGCGCAGGCGTGCCCCCACAGCGCAACTCCAGCTCGGTGTAGACCGCGCCAAGTTCCAAAGCCATTGAGAAGTGGGGGTCAGCCCAAACCTGTACAAACTGCAGGAGCCCGGATGGAACATGGAAAACATGATGGAAGTGTCAGGCCAACTTACAGGGGTGTATCATGTATCTATATACTGTATGTGTATATATATATATACATATATGTTTTTTATTCCCGAAAGCATTGCGAAGGGTTCTTCCGGAAAATCCTTTGAACACTGACACTTCGACACTTACACTTCGACACTCACACTTACACACACACACACACTGGAAGAGCGAAAGCATGCAAGCATGATATGCAAGGGTGGGCATGCAAGCATGCAATGACTATGCAAGCATGCAATGAGTAGGCAAGTGTGAGTATGGAAAACTAGCACGGGAGATGTCCTAATGAAAAACATTTCCTCACTTTATAAATTCTCTCTTAAAGGCGGAGTGCGGGACGAACAGCATCAACCGAAAGTGCAACCCTCTGCGGAGATCGTGCATGTCGAGTGCGCGAAATGCAGGTGAGAGTGCGATGTGTCCGGTGTGCGCGCAACCCTCTGCGGAGATCGTGCGTGTCGAGTGCGCGAAATGCAGGCGAGAGTGCGGTTCGCCGGGTGCCCGCGCAACCCTCTGCGGAGATCGTGCGTGTCGAGTGCGCGAAATGCAGGCGAGAGTGCGATTTGCCGGCTGCGCGCGCAACCCTCTGCGGAGATCGTGCGTGTCGAGTGCGCGAAATGCAGGCGAGAGTGCGATTTGCCGGGTGTGCGCGCAACCCTCTGCGGAGATCGTGCGTGTCGAGTGCGCGAAATGCAGGCGAGAGTGCGATTTGCCGGGTGTGCGCGCAACCCTCTGCGGAGATCGTGCGTGTCGAGTGCGCGAAATGCAGGCGAGAGTGCGATTTGCCGGGTGTGCGCGCAACCCTCTGCGGAGATCGTGCGCGTCGAATGCGCGAAATGCAGGCGAGAGTGCGATTTGGCGGGTGTCCGCGCAACCCTCTGCGGAGATCGTGCGCGTCGAGTGCGCGAAATGCAGGCGAGAGTGCGATTTGCCGGCTGCGCGCGCAACCCTCTGCGGAGATCGTGCGTGTGGAGTGCGCGAAATGCAGGCGAGAGTGCGATTTGCCGGGTGTGCGCGCAACCCTCTGGCGACTTTGTAGTACAACTTTAGTACGCGGAGTAATCTGTGGAGCTGTAAGCTGAGAACTGGCGACTTTCTAGTACAACTTTAGTACGCGGAGTATCTGGGGAGCTGGAAGATGAGAACTGGCGACTTTGTAGTACAACTTTAGTACGCGGAGTATCTGCGGAGCTGGAAGATGAGAACTGGCGACTTTGTAGTACAACTTTAGTACGCGGAGTATCTGGGGAGCTGGAAGCTGAGAACTGGTGACTTTGTAGTACAACTTTAGTACGCGGAGTATCTGCGGAGCTGGAAGATGAGAACTGTACAACTTTAGTACGCGGAGTATGTGGGGAGCTGGAAGCTGAGAACTGGCGACTTTGTAGTACAACTTTAGTACGCGGAGTATCTGCGGAGCTGGAAGATGAGAACTGGCGACCCACACAAACACCCACACACTCCCTCAACTTCCACGAACGCACACATACGCAGACTCGTTTCCACACGGACATGGACACACGCACAGAAACCCACACACTACCTCAACTCACTCGACTTAACACTTCTCACTACACACTTACCGGATAACTCGCACTCTGATTTCCTACGTGATGAAAAATGCTTTCGGGCCACTCGTCGTCTAGTAATCATATCCGCCGACCCCATCCGGTATGCTATATGTACTGTATATGGACCAATCAAGAAAATGGGAACTGTTTCCGGGCTATGCAAGTGGATGTGGGCAACAATTGGTTGACAAGTTCATGACAGTGATGATGGATCCTGCTTGTCCAACCCTGCTTGGAAGTTCAAGTTCTGGCATGGCGATGCATGGAAGGGGTGGGCCCATGTCCGTGTTCCACCTTGATTGTTCAGTCATCTGAATCAGCAATTGACTGAAAGTTCAAGTGACTGGGTAGACTCAAAAATGCGCTGGAAGCATTTTTCCCCAAACAGTTTACTGTTGGGGTTCTACATAAGAAAGAAAAGAGCTGGCCGCACTCACTGGCCGCGCCCCTGAACTCTGTGGCTGGGCCTTGTCCTCCTCTTGGCCGCGCCCCTGAACTCTGTCAACTCTGTGACTGGGCTCTGTGGCTGGGCTCTGTGTCCAGGCCTTGTCCTCCTGAACTCTGTCAACTCTGTGGCTGGGCTCTGTGTCCAGGCCT